AGGACAGAGGTCCACTCCAGTGGGATTTCAGTCCACTCAGATGACCTCATTTTCATTTGATTACCTCTGTAAAGATCTTGTCTTTTAATAAGGTCACATTCTGAGGTACTTGGGGTACTTCAATGTATGAATTGAGAGGCAGGTAAAATTCAACACCAAGCAAACTTCTTTTTTTTTTTTTTGAGTTACTTCCCATCTCCATGAATGGCATGTCCACCATATTACTTAAGCAGAAACTTGAGCATCATCCTTATCAAGTCACTTGCCCTTATATAAACTTGGGGTTCAAAGCCCGTAGAACTTGGAGGCAAAATTTTGGAATAGGAACCTTCATAACAACATAGGTTTCCAAAAGGGTCTGTGATTCCCAAATGGCTGACAATCTCTGCTTTATATCTTTCTACCACCTTGGTACAAAACACATGAATTTTGAAAAATTAGAGTTAAGTATAAAAATAAAATTTAAAATTATCTTCTTATTTGGTTACCTGGAATCATGTAATATTTTGGTCATTGCTTTGTACATTTTATGCCTTCATGCATTTTTTTTAAGTAGTTGGACCATACAGTATTTATGTATTAAACATCTTTAATCAAGATTAATCAAGCTTTTCTCTTTCTCTCTTTTTAAAAACATTTCATTTATTTTATTTTATTTGTAAGACTATTTATTTGACAGAGAGAGAGAGAGAGAGAGAGAGAATGAGTACATAAGCAGGGGGAGCAACAGAGAGAGAGGGAGAAGCAGGCTCCCCACTGAGCAGGGAGCCTGGTGCAGGGGTTTAATCCCAGGACCCTGGGATCATGACTTGAGCTGAAGGTAGATGCTTAACCCACTGAACCACCCACGTGCCCCTATTTATTAATTTTTAGAGAGAGAGAATGGGGGAAGGGGCAGAGAGAGGAAGAGGGAAAGAATCCTGAGCAGACTGTGCTGAGCATGGAGCCCAATGTGGGACTTGATTTCAGGACCCTGAGATCATGACATGAGCTGAAATCAAGAGCTGGATGCTTAATTGACTGAGCCACCCGGGCACCCTGAATTAAGCTTTTTAAATTCAACATTGTGTCTTGAGTGTTTTCTCATGTCTTCACAAAATCTTGATAAATAATCTTAAATGATGAATATTATTCTGTCAAATGGGTAGACAGTGATTGACTTAGATATTTTCTTACTATCCCACTGTCAGACATTCAGGATTTTGCTATTTTTTTTTGACTCATAATTAATGCAGCAACAACTTTGCTATGAATTTGGACTCAACTAATTTGCTTATAATTCAGATATGATTCAGCTGGAGGTGAAGGAGAGAGATGGCCAGTGTCTCTAAACAAGTTATTAGTGTAAATTAAAGAAAAACGAACTTTACCTAGGTTGACAAATGTTTTAAGGCATTATTTGTGAATAGATCCTTTGTGATTTCAAAGTTATTTTTATTGAATTGCTATGGTAGGTCACGGTAGATTCTCCAGTAAATGGCCTTACAGTGGTTCTTTGTAGTCTATAACAGGGCTCTCCACTAGAACTTTTGGGATTGATGAAAATGTTCTTTTTCTGACTTGTCCAGTATGGTAGCAGTTAGCCGCATGTGACAACTGACTGCTTGAAATGTGATTAATGCAACTGGGAAACTGAGTTCTTAATTTCATCTCATTTTATTTAAGATTTTTTTTTTTTTTTTTTTAATTTGACAGATCACAAGTAGGCAGAGGCAGGCAGAGAGAGACAGGAGGAGGAGGCAGGCTCCCTGCTGAGCAGAGAGCCTGATGTGGGACTCGATCCCAAGACCCTGAGATCATGACCTGAGCCGAAGGCAGAGGCTTCAACCACTGAGCCACCCAGGCGCCCCAATTTCATCTCATTTTAGTTGACTTAAATTTAAATAGCTCCTTGTGGCTGGTGGCTACCCTACTGGATAGTCCAGTTCTAGCATGATGGTGACTAAACACTTTTACATTGCTGTCTCTTCCTAATCATTCTTCTAAGTGCTTTATGTATTAGTATACTTAATCCTCACAATGACTCCATGAGGTTATCTTCTAGTTACTACTGGTGTATAACAAATGACCTCAAAGCTTCATGGCTTGAAATAGCAATAGTCACTCATTTTGCTTAGGAATCTCCAAATTGGTCAGGGTTCGTTGGAAACAGCTCATGTTTGCTCCAGGCAGCATTAACTGGGACTACGCCTGCTTCTAGAATGGCTCATTTACATAGTTGTTGAGTTGATGACTATTACTTGTTTCTTTCCTTGGGGAAGCTTGGGCTACCTCACAACATGGTGACTGTGTTCCAAAAGCAACTGCCCCAAGAGACAGGAAGTAGAAGCTGTCAGTTACTTAGGGCGTGGGGCTTGGAAACTGACAGAGCATCACTCCAACCTATTCTATTGGTCTGGCAGAAGACAGAGGATGTATTCAAGGGAAGGAGATACAGACTTCCCTTGGAGCTGGATAAAAGAATTTGGGGCCAAGTTTTAAAATCATCATAGAAAGGTACAATCATGTTGATTTTATTTCATAACGAGGAAACTGAGGACAGAACCGTTCAATAACTTGCCCAAGTTGACGTGCCTAGTAGGTGGCCAAGTTGTTATTCATTCCAGGACGTCTGACCTTGTAACCTCAGTGCTATATGGCATCTCTCTGTAATTCCTGTTTCCCTAATTGAGATTCATATCTTCATCAGCTTTTCCATGGTACAGTAATTATGAGATTAAGTGACTGATACCTGTTTGTAAATCACAAACTCTAAATATGTAGTATTTGCAGGGGTTTGCCACATGTCACATTAATTAAGACACATTCTCAACCACCTGATTCAAGAGGGGCTATTGGCTCCAATTCCAAGCCCCTCTGCTTTCCTCCCTGTTCCTGGTACCCCCCAAAGAGAATTAGTTATCACCTCCAGGTTGAAACAGACTGTGATTCTGAGTAAAACTCTCAGTCTTAGAGGCTGTTTGCTTCACTGATCCCTGTTGCACGGAATATGTGGAATTAAAACGGAGTTAATAAATAAGACTTAGAATTGTAAAAGGAGTTAAAGAATTATTTCTGGTTTTTACTAAATGACTGGCCATAAATCCCAAGTTAGGTGATATATTTGCATATGCTTAGGGAAGTGTGTGTGTGTGTGTGTGTGTGTGTACTTCCTTTTATTTGTTCATTCATTTAATATATTGATTCCTGGAAGACAAATCAGAAGAAAATATACATTATCCCCAGTTCTAGAGATTGTCTGATAAAATAATGAATGCAACCTTGTACAGACCTAAGAAACCAGCAGTTTCTTTTCCTGTTCAAAGGTCATGGGTATTTTCACAGGAAAGATCAATAGCTGTTTGCTGTGTGGCCTCTGGTTTGCAAATTGGGCTTCTGTTTGATACTATTGGCCGCAGTGATGAAATGCAGGTTATTTCACACCTGCTATTTGTCCCCTTACAATCACTGCCACACAGATCCTTTTTTATCAAAATACTCTGAGAGAGCTTATAATTAAACATATCTAGTTCTCCAGTTTCTGGGTTTCTTGACCACTATTAATCTCTCTGATGGAGAGAAAGAATTTCATTTCATCACTTTAGAATCTGAGTATTCCAAGTAAGGACACTTCATTTCAGTGAAATCTCACATGTTTCTTTACTCCTCCTACCTGACTTTCTCCTTCAGCTGATAATTCTCTTCTCATTTTGTGAGCTGGTGCTTTGCTGCTTTTCTGCCTACCTGGCTTGTCCTCTGTCGTCTTTGTTGACTATATCTCCTGATGCCTGCGTCTGGCTCTCTGCTGCTCACTCTCCTTCCTAGAGGGGATGCGGGTCCCCATGGACAGGGACTCTCAGGATCCTGTGCGTGGCACCCCAGCAGGCTTGGATCTGGTAATAAGCCCCTGGGATGCTTTGACGTGTCCACAAGCAAATTGCTCCTTTTCTTCAAAAGATGCCCCCTTCCTAGCTGCCCTATTTTTGAAGTCATAAAATAGGTCCTTACTGTTCTTTTTTCTCCTGTTGCCCCGCGTATTGCCTTGGACAGCGTTTCTCTCAGTCGGTGTTGATCTGCCCATGCGTTTTGTGTGGGGATTGTTTCCGATGCTCCCCTACACGTTCTAAGATCCTCTTGCCCAGGTCGGGTTGTTTATCACTCTGTCCAGTTCTCAGCCTTGTGCTTTTCACATGGTGGGTGGACGATAAATTTTTATTTGGGTAAGTGCACAAACAAAAAAATGCACAGCCTTCCATTTTTATGTTTGTCCCCTGGGCCAAAATCTTGATGCCATCCCGGATTTTCCTCTCTTTTCCGTATTCTAGATCTTTCCATTTACTAAGTCCTTCTAAAACGTAAGCTCCACGAGGACAAGCACCTTTGTCTGTTTTACTCTGTGATATGTCACCAGTGCCTAGACTGTTCCTGCCGTAGTTGAGCGTTCATTATGTTGTAAAAATGGTTGTTACTATTTTACATGTATTTATCTCATCTTTATGATACCTTGGAAGGGTGGGTAGGTTCTAATGAGTGTGTGCATTTCACAAGAAACTGAGTCACGGAGGTGCTAAGTTATTGCACAGCTGCTAGATGGGGGAGGTGTGTGTGTGTCAGGACTTGAACCCAAGGCTCCTGGGTCCATGCTCATAACCACTCAGCGCTCTGCTATAATGCTACCAAATGACTCTGTGTTTCTTTTGTGCTTGTCACTGCTCCCAGACATACTTAAAACACTGTGTGGCTCCTGCTGCAGGTGAGGAAGTAGAGGCTGGCTTGAGAGGTTTCAAAGAAATGACGCAGAGTGGGACGTAGTTTGTGACCAGCAGGGACAGGATGGGAACTCGGACTTGTAGGCACACCAAGCCCTCAGCCCGTGTTCCATACTGCCTGACCCTCCAGTCTCTGCGTGGCCCGTGGTTTGGGAGCCTACTCCAATTCCATGTGAATGTTCCCCGGGGTCCTCAGATTGTCCTTGCTGTGCGGCAGACGTCTGATGCCACCGTGTGTGTTTCTCTCTGTAGACAATGGGGGCAGCCACACGTTGCACTCCAGAACACAGACGACCCCAGCGCCCACCAACAACACGGGCAGCGGACACCCAGAGTATATCGCCTATGCGCTCGTCCCTGTGTTCTTCATCATGGGTCTGTTTGGTGTCCTCATCTGCCACCTGCTTAAGAAGAAGGGCTATCGTTGCACCACAGAAGCCGAGCAAGAGGTGGAGGAGGAAAAGGTTGAAAAGATAGGTAAATACCTGCGTCCTTTTTATGGCAATGTGGATGGGGGCAATTTCCTTTCTTTCTTTCTTTCTTTTTTTTTTTTTTAAAGATTTTATTTCTGCATAATCGCTACATCCAATATGGGGCTCGAACTCACAACCTGGAGATCAAGAGTCACACATGCTCTACTGACTGAGCCAGCCAGGTGTCCCCAAAATGATCTGTCTTCATAGAAGGTGGTAGGGTGGTTTGTCTGTATGGATTTCATACTAACCACACGTGGGGCTTGAAACCTGGCCTTCACTTATGAAACACCTACCAGCACATTCCTTGTGGCTTTGGGCAAGTTCCATATGCTCCAAACTTCTGCTATGTGTAGTTTAACTGGAATTTAACCTTAGGTAGTTGAATGCCAATTTAATTAAAATTTTAATTTAATTTAAATTAAATGAGGACTGTAATGTCCATCTTGTAGGATTATTGTGGAATTTAGAGAGAAGATGCATTTGATGTTTGGTACCCGTGGCCACTCAGTAACTATGAATCTTTACTATTATTACCGAGAGAGCTTCTGATAAGAACGATGGGGAATTTAAATAGCTCTCATTGGTTTTGTGGTAATACTTTTGCTGGGGGAGTTCTCTCTGAAACCTATGTGATTGGAATTTATATTTATTAAGTAAACAGTTATGTCAACAGTGCAGTTAAAGTATGGCAAGAAATGGTACCTTAGTATTAATTTGAGGATATCTTACCTTTTCCTCTTAACATGGAGTTGTTAGGTAGGGTTTGGAAAAATCCAAGAAATAAAATCCTGTTTTCTTCCTTTGATATTCTTTTCAACCATGCTTTAGGGATGTTTCCTGACTTGGACTTCAGGGAGTAGTAGCTCACCTTCCTTATCCCTTTTAGCTCCTCACAGGGCAGTGTGTGCAGAAGGGGACATTAGGAGTCAGTCACCTTTCAAGAGAGCCAGCGGGTGGAGTGGGGAGAGCTTCTTCCTCCCTTGCCAGCCTGCTGGCCTGTTGGTTTTCCCCACCCCCACTGACCTTTGAGGCAGAGAGAGAGCCCGGTTGCTGGATGAGTCATGGGTAGCTTATGAGCAAACCAAAGCCGAGTGTTTGTCAACAGAAAGCAAGCTCCCCCAGGCCAGCTTAGCAGTCAGTATTTGCACTGTTGAGCCAAATGCTCATTTTCGTGGAGGAGGAAGCCAACTGTGGATGGAGAAGACACTTTTCCAAGGACACGAGTAGGATGTTGCACGCCTTGATTCGTTCTCCGTGAACTAGGATCCCTCCCTTTTCCTTCCTCCCTGAAATTACACAGTTTCAGGGTGAAGGTTTGATTTTCCTTCAAAGACTGTCACCCAGTACAGTTTCCTAAGGTAAACGGAGTTTGTGGGCAAATAACCACACCAAAATGTAGGTCATTTGGAAGTGTATTTAAATGAGAGGAGAGTCTTCTAAACATGGATGAATCATGACCCAGTGTGAGAAGGAAATTTGTGCTCTACATTTATATAGTATGTCTGCCGTTGAAAGGAAATCCAAGGAGAATTTTTTCTTTTGATTAACTGTTTTCTTCCCATGTTGCCTAAGGGTTTAAGGAAATGATGAGTGAGAACTACAGTAGTAAGGATTGATACACACGCATGGAAGTGAGTGGGTGTTTGGACCGGAGAAGAGGTTGATGGATCATTCTGGTGCTTGTTATGTCTGTGCGCCGGAGGAGTCACTCTGGGCCGTGCGTCGGGCGGTTTGGGGCTGAAGGAAGAAAGCCTCCACCCTTAGGCCACGGCTGAGCTTTCTAGAGACTGTTGAGTGAGGACTCCTTGCCTCGATAGAGGTGACCGATCGTAACCCGCTCTCCTCTCCCCCTTCTCTTTCAGAGTTGAATGACAGTGTGAATGAAAACAGTGACACCGTTGGGCAGATTGTCCACTATATCATGAAAAATGAAGGTATGAATGTTTACTGTTCCAAAACAATTCAGTATTTGTGGTTTATTAAAAACCTGCCTTGAAGAGTCAGAATTTGTGTGAACTCCCCGGTTGATCTTTCTGGTCATCTGCAGTTCTTTTCACCTAAGCTCACGAATACGTCAGCTTCCAGATTATTCCGCCATAAGAATGTCATCTAGTGTGTTTTTGAAGAGTCAGTGGGTGTGAGTGTTTGCAGAAAGCCCGCCCAGGAGGCTCACCTTCTAATCCTGGCCTCACCTTGATTTGGGGAAAGTCATTTTACCTCATGGGGTCTCCGTTTCCTCCTCTGTAAAAGGAGGGTAATAAGTGATATTTACCTCATTGCACTATTGTGACATCCTCCATTCAAAGACTTAGTACAATAGATTTGCCTGTTCTCTGATCTTTTCTGAAGTGTTCAGACTTTTAAAAGGTATAACCTTTGTGAACGGAAGCATTTTTCCCTCTGGAACGTACTCTGAACTCTTGTCTTCTGAAAGGGAGGATGAACTGAATCTTGATCAGATAAATACTGGCTGTTAGCTGAGGAGGATACCATTACAGAGGGGCACAGGGCAAGACCCTTGGAAGCTACTGGAGTGTGTGGGGCTCCTTGCCCACATCCCCAATAGCCTCAGGGCCCAGAGCCTCTAAGAGCTGGAGCAGCTGCAAGGTTAGCGAGTGTGGGGCTGAGGTGGGTTACTGACCGTTGCATCAGAAATAAGTAAACCTCGAAAACTTTGCAGGGGTTCAAGTTCTTCTTTTTTCTTCCAGGATTTTATTTATTTATTAGTGAGAGAGAGTGCATGAGTTGCATGAGTTGGGGGAAGGGGACAGAGGGAGAAGCAGACTCCCTGCCGCGCTGGGAGCTCAATGTGGGCTTGATCCCAGGACCCTGAGATTATGACCTGAGCGAAGGCAGATGCTTAACCGACTGAGCCACCCAGGCGCCCCGGGGTTGGAGTTCTGACGTACAGCTTCCCAGTATGCACTGTTTACTGTGTGCCAGGCCTGTTCTCACGGCTTTCTAGGGACTAACCACCTCATGGTTCAGATACTTCCTTCCCATTTTGCCATTGAGAAAGCGAGAGACCCACCGTGCTTAACTGACTTGCCAGCACCATAAACTGGCAGGGTCAGAGCTGAGATTTGAACTTGCGCATCTGACTTCAAAGGCTGTGCTTAGCCACTTGCTGTCAAGTCCTCTTTCCTTTTATCCGGAAGGAGGGATGGGAAATGTCTTCCTTTTTTTTTTTTTTTTAAATTTTATTTTTTTTAAACATATAATATATTTTTATCCCCAGGGGTACAGGTCTGTGAATCGCCAGGTTTACACATGTCACAGCACTCACCATAGCACATACCCTCCCCAATGTCCATAACCCCCCCTCCCCCCCTCCCCACCCCCCCCCCCCCACATCAACCCTCAGTTTGAAACGTCTTCCTTTTAAAGTGATAACTCGTACAGCTGGGATAGTTGATAAAACTCCTGAAGCATTAACTCACAAATTCTCAGAACCACCTTCTGGAGGTAGGTAGGTCCTTTTAGCATCCCATTTTGCAGATGAGGAAACAGAGGCCCAGAGCTCGTACCGCTGGCGTATGGCAGGGTGGCACCTGCAGCAGGCCCCTTCTCTTCAGGGAGGCAGAGGAGAAGCATTTGACTGTCTGGGACTAGTATGCTGTCCCATATTACATACTAGTCCCAGTATATACTAGTCCCATACATACTAGTATGTCCCAATTACATACTAGTATAGAATTTCCTCACCTCCCACACACATGGGCAAATAGGTCTGTCCTTTCCTATTTTATTTTATTTATTTATTATTATTATTTTTAAAGTAGGCTCCATGCCCATTGTGGAGCTCCATGGAGGGCCTGAATTCCTAACCCTGAGAGCAAGACCTGAGCTGAGATCAGGAGACAGATGCTTAACCAACTGAGCCATCCAGGCGCCCTTGTCCTTCTCTTTTTTTTTTTAAGATTGGTGGTGGGTATTGTGGAGGGCATGTATTGCATGGGGCACTGGGTGTGGTGCATAAACAGTGAATCTTGGAACACTAAAAAAAAAGATTTTTTAAAATTTGTTTGTCAGAGAGAGAGAGAGAGCACAGGCAGAGGGAATGGTAGGCAGAGGGAGAAAGCAGGCTCCTCACTGCATAAGGAGCCAGATGAGGGCTCCATCCCTGGGTCCTGGGATCATGACCTGAGCCAAGGGCAGCCACTTACCCAAAGGTGCCACCCAGGTGCCCCTACCCTTTTCTATTTTAATGCCGTCCTTTCTCAGGAAGTAGCCTCTTTGTTTCCTCTGCCTTGATTGGTAGGTCCACTGGAGTAACACCGAAGGCACTGTTTTCCTTCTCCCTCCTCTGCTCCCCAGTTCTCTCTCCCCCTCCCCCGTCCATGCTTTCACTAGTCTACCTGTGATTTGTCCAGCCACCTGTGAGCTTGGGGGCGTGGCTCCGATCCTCTCTGTGGCCCTTGGTTCTCCTTGGCCCCCAGGAGACATCTGACCTCACTGGAACCCTTTTCCAGACATGGCTGGTGCCGAAACCACAGCTGGGGAATTAGATCCATACTTGGGTCTCTTCCCAGTTTATAACCTAGCTTTCTAGTTTGCTTTGAGGCTTCAATCCTCTACAGAACAAATGCCTTTTTAAATCCTTTGTCTGCGTCATTAACAGTCTCTGAACTTAGTATCCATTTAGATCTCCTTGTCGGTGTTAATTTTCCATTTTTTTTTTAATTGTAAGCACACCCTAGCATAACTTTTCTTTTAAAAATTGAAAAAAAAAAGAATAAAATGAAATACAACCCAGCCATTACCATTTGCTATGTTTATTTAGGTTTTCTTTGCCTATATTTACATATTTAAAAAACAACTGCAACCGTGATTTATGAATAGTCTTCTGCTTTGCATTTTTTTTTAAACATTTTTTTTTTAAAGATTTTATTTATTTATGAGAGAGAGAGAGAGAGCGCGCACAGGCAGACAGAATGGCAGGCAGAGGCAGAGGGAGAAGCAGGCTCCCTGTGGAGCAAGGAGCCCGATGTGGGACTCGATCCCAGGACACTGGGATCATGACCTGAGCCGAAGGCAGCTGCTTAACCAACTGAGCCACCCAGGCGTCCCGTGCTTTGCATTTTTAATTTGGCTGATGGGGTAATATTTCACCCGTACTTATGGTGACATTGTTTATGGCTTTAATGTATCATGTCTCAAATATTGCAAATCGGGTTAGTTTATATAAATCTCTTGAGGGATAAATTTTTCAGCTGACCCGCATACTGATTATTTTCTTGCTAATCTCAAGGCTCGGATTAGGGACAGTGCTACCCTTAATTTATCTTTTTAAGTAGATTGCATTGAAGAGTGTGTGGGTGGTCATTGAGGTTTTCTTGAGTTCTGTGGGCTTTTGGAAATTACCTGCAAGTCTATAGCCCAGCCTCTCTGCCAGGCCCTAAACGGTGTCATCCGATGACAATGAAGACTATTGTGGTTACTGTCCAGGTGCCCCTGGTTAGTCACACCAGGCAAAGGGATCCTTTTGTGAAATTCTTACCTTGGGGCTCAATTTATTTTATGGCAAGGGTTCTGTTACAAATTATCATTACCGAGTGGGTCTCCTAAGCTTGCTATCATGATCATACTGACGTTCTTGGAGCATTGAACTATTAACCATTTGGGTAGAGACTTAGACATTGAAGGAGTAAGAGGGAGAACATCAGAGTCAAATTCATCCACCCGAGAGACAGACGGACCAGGGCTTGTGTCCACGTCTCTCATGGTGGCTGGCCAATCAGTTATGCTCTTTAGGGCCTCAGTCTCTACATCTATAAAATGGGCATGATGACTCTGTTTACTCTTAGAGAGGTCAGGAGAGTCAAACATGATGAGGTCTATAAAAAGCTTTCGGCCAGTGGTTGGCACACAGCAGCACTCTGATTTTGGGGGTGGCTGTAGTTCTTGACTGGGAGATTTGCCTTGATTGCAAAGGAATCTTTTTTTTTTTTTTAAATAATTTCATTTTTAAATTTATTTGAGAGAGAGAAAGAGAGTATGCAAGCAGGGGGAGGGGCAGAGAGTGAGGGAGAAAAACAGATTCCCTGCTGAGTGGGAAGCCCGATTTGGGGCTCCATCCTTTGACCCGGAGATCATGACCTGCACTGAAATTAAAAGTCAGACACTTAACAGACCGAACCACCCAAGTACCCCTCAAGGGAATGCTTGAAGAGAAGAGTGGTGGGAGAGAAAAACAGGGCATTCTTCTTGCCTGATTTGACTGCTGCCTTATACCTAGGAGCAGGCAGAAATTCAGGACAGAAGACAGGAAGCATTTTATGAAATTATTACCCTCTAGAAAATTTCTCCTGTTCTCGACAGGTTTTCCTTGCCCTGTAACTGACTGCTCCCATTCTCTGGAAACCCGGGATGGGAAGTCCAATGGACAGAATGTTGACAAGTGCAGGGAAACACTTGTTTATTGTAATTATGAGTAATAATCAGGGAGGAGATAATATTCAATAGAACTTAATCAGATGACTGTACTTTCGTAGTAATTTTACAACCAAATTAAAGCACGTGTCTAAGTCCAAATGGTGGGGTTACGTTAGAAAGTTTTCTTAACCCAGGAAACCACATGACTCCACATACTGAACCTCCTTGGACAGGGAGGGTGTGAGTGATGTTTGCGTAGAAACTTGAGCCTACACTTAAAGAATTCACTCATAGCAAACAAGGGCCGTTTTTAAATTTTTCTAAGAGGTAGGGCAAGGTTCAGGAATACATGAATATAGAAGAAACAACATGAGTCTATTTAAAAAAACAGTTTTAGGAATGATTTTAATATATTTTAATAATCTTGATCATTTTCTGACCCCATCTTTCTAAGGGAGGTCATCGTTTTATAGGTGATTAGTTTTCTCTGGCAACTGTTTTAAGCTTTTGTTTTTAAACAGCTCATTCTTACAAGTGAGTGCTCTTGGCACTGTCTATTTTCATACCTTTTTTTGTTTTCCCTTTTTAACGTCTGTAGTCTTGAAGTTTAGTAAATGATGGCAGAGAATAAGTGTCAGCTGGCAAATTAGCGTGTCTTCCCTAAACCTTTTGTCTAAACAAAAATTAGTTTTCTGAATCCTTATTATTAATCAAAAGGGAAAAAGACAGACATGACTGGATTGTAGTTCCCATTTGTCTTGTAGAGGGTAGCATGCCTTTGTTATATGGGAGAAGATTCTGCCAATCCATTTCAAAACTTTCTCGGTAATCACAGGAGTCTTATTTAGGTCAGAACTTGGGTTAGAGAATGTGCTTGGACATCGTCACAGGGAGTCATGAAGGGCAAAGACACTATTTCTTTTTAGAAAAGATGGTATGCTGTATTATTTCTTTTAAAAAAACCTATGCCCTTGCAAGGGTTGTGAAGGGGGTGAAAATGGATCATGGGGACAAAAAAACCCTTATTATTTCGTATGTATATAGTACACAAACAGATCTCTATCTGCAGTATTATAATTTCATAAGAGGGTGATTAGAAAAAAGATGTTGCAAAAGGCTCCTGGGCGGGGCAATAATTATTTAAGTTAAAAAACTGAAATTTGGGGGCACCTGGGTGGCTCAGTCAGTTAAGCATCTGGCTTCGGCTCAGGTCATGATCTCAGGGTCCTGGGATGGAGTCCCGCATTGGGCTCCCTGCTCAGCAGGGAGTCTGCTTCTTCCTCTCTCGCTGCCCCTCCCCCTATCTTGTGCTAGCTTGCTCTCTAATAAATAAATAAATAAATAAATAAAATCATTTAAAAAACCCTTAAATTTAATTTTTAATAAGTTGAGAAGCACTCTGTCAACCTGTAACTGTTAATACCTGAAAGCAGTAGTGTTGAAACTAGGGTTAATTTTCCTCCTCCAAGGATGTCATTTGAGCCGTTAAATGTGAAATGTTGCTGTTGGCTCCCATGGCGAATAGTGATTTTTTATTCTTCCGTCTCTGGAGAATTTGTGGTTCCTCATGAGAACAGCACTTAAAAAAAATCAATGAAAAGGTTAGGAGTCAGTAATAGCACTTGGCTTTGCCAAATAAATATCCAAGAGGAGCTGGAACCCTCGCTCAGTCTTTCATCCTTGAGAGTCTGACCAGTCTGTCAGAGGCAGAAAGAACATGCGTGTCTGTGGGGTCGGAGCGTTGGGTGGGGACCCAAGAAGCTTGGATTCAGTTTGCTTTGGTTGACAGCCTACCCCCAACCTAAACTATTGGATTTTTAAAAAATTAACATTGGGGGACGCCTGGGTGGCTCAGTTGGTTGGACGACTGCTTTCAGCTCAGGTCATGATCTCGGAGTCCCGGGATTGAGTCCCGCATCAGGCTCCCAGCTCCACGGGGAGTCTGCTTCTCCCTCTGACCTTCTCCTCGCTCATGCTCTCTCTCACTGCCTCTCTTTCAAATAAATAAATAAAATCTTTAAAAAAAAATTAACATTGGAAGTCTAATTTAATTCAGTTCATGTTAGGTAACCTCTGTGTGTGACCAACTCTTGGAAATGTAGGGTATCTGGCCAGAGCTAAGGTCTTGTATGGTCCTGCAGACGAGCTAAGCTAATGGCCCACCTGGAAAATTAACCTTCTCACATCCCTGATTCTGTGTGGGGTAGACTTGATGATACGTGGGTATTCAGAGGTTAATTAAGGCTAATCAGCCGGGCTCATGCAAGGTCTTAGAATACAGGTCTCTTAAGACCTATGTCTCACTATTCGTTTAGCCAAGTGAGCTGAGAACAGGGGCATAGCACCATGTAAATTTCCCTTTCCTTTCAGAGGGGGAAGAACAGTAGTTTTCTGTGTCTGTTGGAACAGTGTATAGGAAGCTCGGCCCTATGGTAGATCCGCTTTCCTATCTGTAGATTCTCTGTCACTCGTACGGAATTCCTGCGTGGTGAAAGTTATCCACAGATGGTGCCATTTCTAGGGGTTCCCTTGGGAAAAACTTCCCTTCTCCAGGACCCCAGGGTCGTGTGAACTGAAGGACCTCAGATCTTTCCCCAACAGCTTTTCTACTCTTTATTTTCCTTCCAACAGCTTTTCTGATGTGATAACTCTGTGATTGCTTATGTGATTCATTCCATTTTAATCCTTTGCTTTCTTTTTTTCTCCCCCCTTAGCAAACGTTGATGTTTTAAAGGCAATGGTAGCAGATAACAGCCTGGGAGACCCTGAAAGGTGAGTGCATCCCCCCCTAGCCATTTAGTGGCACTTTTTTCTTTCTTTTCTTTCTTTCTTTCTTTCTTTTTTTTTTTTTTTTTTAAGTTACCTGCTAGAGCAGGTTTCCCAACTTTGGCCTGGTTGACATTTGGGCCAGATAATTCTTAGCTATGGACACCTGTCCTGTACACTGTGGGATGTTTATCAGCATTCCTGGGCCCTGCTCACTAGATGCTGGTGTCCTCTTTCCCACTCTGTGTGATGACCCAGAATGTCCCTGCGCATTGTCAGTGGTCCCCTGGGGCGAATTCAGCCCTAGCTGAGGATTGTGGTGTTGGAGAAACAATAAAGAAGTTGGAGTTGGACTTGGAGTTGGGAACCTTGGTGGAGTCTCCCCTCTGCCATGTATTGGCCACTCTGTGTGGGCAGTTAACTCCCAACCCGGGGCTCCATCATTTACACGTGGAGATAACCGTTGTACTCAGTTGCTTGGGTTATTATAAGGAACACAAGGGGCTTGGGGCATTGAAAGACCTTCATGAATCGTGATGATGAAGTGAAAATCAGGCTGGGTGGGCTGTTGAGATTATAGTCCCTCCTAATGAATTACGGAGAACTGTATTTCTGGAGAGGTGTTTTTTTTTTTTTTTAAATTTCTTCAGCAAGGAGCATTTATTGAATGCCTGCTCAGTGCTGGGCACAGTGCTAGAGCTGGGCTTTCACAGATCTTGGAGTCTGGAGGGCTTAGGCTGGAGGGAAAAGGAGCCTTGGGCATGAAGCCTTATGATGATGGGGAGCATGGCCTTATGATGGGGAGCACGGCCTGATGATGGGGGGCACGGCCTGATGATGGGGGGCACGGCTATGCTTCATGAACAGCAAACACTAGGTGCTCCCAGGGCTCTGTGGGGCCAGAGGGAAGTCTGTGAAGGTTCACCAAAGTGCCATCTGAGCCAGATATGTGACAGGCAGAGACTGCTTGAAGGTGGAGAAAGCCCAGGGCACAAACACTGGCGTGTAAAAGCGTGGGGCAGAGAGTTCGGCCTGGGGCTGCCAGAGAACACGGTGGATAGTAGCACGACGGGCCAGGAAGGCAAGTTGTTCCAAGGGACAGGGTGAGGAGTTTGGACCTTTCCCTGTTTATTCTGCGGGTGGTGCACCAGGCACATCATAGATAATCTATAGTGTGTCACACCGGCGTGTTAGGTGTGCCCTTTGTCGAGGTCCCTCCGAATGCAGGTGGGTCAGGCTAGGAAGCTCTGGCGGCGTGGTTCAGAGGGACGTGTGAGCTGCGATTTCTCTCACGTTCCAGCCCTGACCACAGATGCCTCCCTGGTGTTTGGACCGTGTCATCTCCGGGCCTGTTGGCCTCCGTTATTTTGGGGCGATGGACAGTGCCTGTCACTGGGTTTTAGGGACTTGAGAAATGTTTGTCGAATGGATGTTAAACTTGTGACTTCAGCTTTCCACAGTGTGGAGTTAATTTCACATTTTTTTGGTCTCAGGAAGCTGCTGCTGTGTGTTTTTATTTTAGCAATCTAAAGAGCATCCCTAAAGAACACTGGAAAACTTCTGGCTATCTCTGATGTTTGAGACTGTCTCCTCTACCATGCACACTGCTTTTTAAAAATGCAAGTGGGCCGGTTTCCAGGAGCAGAAAGGCTGCTTGACGCTGTCATGAGACTTGCGTGTGCCTCCGGGGCTGTTGGCCCAGGCTCAGGGCTCAGGGCTTGGGCTCCGTGGGGACATGCCGCCCCACCTCTCCGCCCACCTATACCACGTCAGAGGGCTGATTCCTGGTCAGGCCAGCCCTGTCCTGTTTTAAAGCCTCCTTTTCTAGTGGACCGGAGTGTTGGTATGCCTTTCAAAGATGGCCAACATCTGACCTATATACGTCTGCTTTTTATATTTTGGATGGTCTGGCTGGATTTTTTTCCAGGCTGTCAAAGAATGCAGTCTCTCTTGTTTTCTGAGGCACTGTGGCATGGTGGTTAAGATCATGGTTTCTAGAATTAGGCTTTCCTGATTTGGATCTCAGATCCATCACTTACTAGCTGCGTGACCTTAGGCAGGTTACATTAACTTCTCATTTTTAAAATGAGGAAATTCGTAATATCAACCTCATGGGTTTTAAAAACGTGAGCACAATTAACATGTATGAAATGCTCAGAATACGAATGTTAGCTGTTTCTGTTACTGTTGTTAACACCATCAACACCTCTGGAGTGTCCCTTTTGAGATCTTGACCTAAAAGCTTTCTTCCTTTGATGCAGTAGTCAGCCTGGATCAGATCTCCTAGTTTAAGTTGTTTGATCGTTCACGTGGAATTTACATGTTTTCTCTTCTTCAAGACACGTATGTTCGTGGGATCTGTCTGTTTAGAGACCGTGGCATGTGCTGGGCTGTGATTTAAAGCCGCTCCTTGCCTTGCAGGGGAGAGCTTGCCTCAACTAGTCCTTTTTTTAAGTAACCACTTCTACCTTTTCCTTTCTCTCCACCTTAGCCCAGTGACTCCCAGCACTCCTGGGAGCCCTCCTGTGAGCCCCGGGCCCTTGTCACCAGGAGGCACCCCGGGGAAGCACATCTGTGGCCACCATCTGCACACAGTGGGCGGGGCCGTCGAGAGGGACGTGTGTCAGCGGTGTAGGCACAAACGGTGGCACTTCATAAGACCCACCAACAAGTCCAAACAGGGCCACGTGAGGCGTCAAGGAGAGGTCACGGTCCTCTCCGTTGGCAGGTAAGGTCCCTGTGGAGGCTTTGGGTTTGTGTGACATGCTTGCTGGGCTGTGTGGATTTGTGTGTCCCTGTTAAATATAGAGTATGATGTCCTAAGCCTGGCTCTGGTTATAGCTCTGGGCTTTCTCCACATCTTCTGCTCTGAGTTCTACATTTTTCCAGCAGCAGAAGAACCCTGAGAGGTGGCTATGCTAGAACATATGTCAGGTGTATTAATTAAGGTAAAAAAAAATTAATAGCTTAAGGTATTAGGGTTCTCCGGGAAACAGAGCTAATAGATGTATATAGATATGTATACGAGGAGATTTATTAAAGAAGTTGGCTTGCGTGATTATGAAGGCCAGAGGTCCCCACAAACGGCTGTTTGCAAGCTGGAGACCCAGGAATGCCGCTGGTGTCATCAGCCCCATTCTGAAGGCCCGAGAACCAGGAGGCCAACATTCGAGAGCAGGTAATAAAGAGAAAAACAAATTCTTCCGTCCTGGGCCTTCTTGTCTGCTCAGTCTCTTAAGGGATTTGATGACAGTCACCCCGCTTGGTCAGGGCAATCTTCTTTTCTCAGTCTTTGGACTAAGAGCTGATGAAGCTGTCTTGGAAACGGCTCAAAGACGCACCCAGAAATAACGTGGTCCCTGCTCTCTGGGGGTCTGTTCGTCCGGTCAGGTTGACCCACGATGCTCTCCAGTGCACGGGTTCTAACAGATAAAGCCCAAACCTCACACAGAAGTTTGTGTTGCGCTTGTGCGGACTGACACACCAGCGAGCAGCTCTTGGAGTAGCTGCCCAGTTGCTCTCCATCTTGTGGCTCTGCCACATCTGCCGGCAGAAGGAGAAGGAACAAGAAAGACTGTTCCTACGAGGTTTGATGGGAGAGGCCTGGAAGGGGCGCATTTCATCTTCGTGCCCAGGCTGCTGTCTGGACCTCACTTGCCTACATGGATTCCTGTGACTGCTTTTTCTTCGGTCACGTTACCTCTGTCCTGTGCACCTGTCCCCAGTCCTCGGCTACCATGGCCTTGGGGCCTCTCTGTGGTGTGGAGCGCTCGCACTTCCAGGGGTGAATCCATTGGATGGCGTGGAGAACACTGGTGCATGGGGGTCTTCTGCAGGGTCCGCTGCAGCCATCCTGAGTCCCAGGCAGGAACCAGCTGGCAAAGGCGACGTTTGGGAAGGCAGCGGGAGTTGTGGTTACAAGTGCGTGTGCTGGAGCTGGGTGTGGGGAGCAGATTGGCTCTTCTTTCTCTACAGACATGCTCTGGAGAGAGGGGTGTGAACTCATCGCATCTCCCTCGTTTGCGGGCTGGCACGACTGCTTCCGAATTCGCTCGCGTAGTTCTGTGCCTCAGTTTCCCCCTCTTTAACACGAGGAGGACGTAACACTCACCTCACTGGGTTGCTGGGAAGATTAAATCAGTTGACTCACGGGAAGGTCTTAGGCCAGTTTCTGGCACTCACTGTGCCCTCTGCTGTTGGCTACTATTATTATGATGATGATTTTGATCTGATTGAGTTTTAGCCTCTATTGCACAAGCAACAAGGAGGAGAATGCAGGGCTGTTCCCCACTTAGAGCAGAAGCCTAGAACTCATGACCACACTGTTTTATTAAGAGGCAGAGTCATGGGAATTTGTGAATGCGGCATGTAATGAGAACCTGGGGCTTGTTTAGACAAAGTGTATTTTGTTTGCTTTAGAAAAAAAAAAATCTGCTGAAATTTTCGGCATGGCTCTTGTCAATGCCCAGATGTGGTTCTCTTTCTTGGATGTAGAACACTGTGAGCGTTTGCTTATGACCAGCTTCCCTGATCCTTCTTTTACTTCCTCAGAGGCTCCCTCCTCCTTGTGGTTGGTGAGCTTATTTAGACGACGAAGAAGGAGAATGTATTTTCCTTTAGATCGTTTTAAGGGAATTTTAGACCAGAACTCAAGAGAAGCTATTATGAAAGACTTCAGTCAAACTGAGTCAATTTCCTTAATTTCTCTTTGAATTCTTCATGAAAATCCCTTCCTTAACTTCCTGAACTTTTTCCTAAATCCTTAATGAAAATTAGCCCACATTTTCTTAAAAAAATAGTCAAAAGCCGAACACACAGAGAAACCCTACCGCCAACCGATGCTGATAAAGGACACAGTTGGGGCCCCTCTAGCCGTGTGTCTGTAGAGATAAGACTGTCTGAGGGGTGCACTTGAATAAGGCAGCTCTCAAGTGAACCTTCTGGTAGCATCAGTCTAACTACAAACTAGTTGTGCCTTTAGCCCGCCCTCTGTGGTTAAAACAACCGATGGTCAACCCATGTCCTTGTTGGGAACCACACCCCTGAGGCTTTTTAAAATTTGAGTCCTCGTGCTTTCTAATGCATTTTTCATGTTCTAGAAAGTATCCAGCAGAGTGTGTGATGTGTTGCGGGTAAGTCATCTGGAAGGTTTGGCAGGGGTCAGGGGCATTTGTGAGTAGGAATGCCCACCTCCCCCTTATTGAATGGGGCGTCTTTTCATTGATGTCCCACATTTTGGCTGAATTTGTTTGGGACCCTCTAGACTTCTGACTCACTCTTGAGTCTTGTTTCCTAGGAAAGCAAAACCCACCACACCTGCTCTTCACCCCCTCAGGTTTAGAGTGACGAAAGTAGAACACAAGTCAAATCAGAAGGAGCGGAGAAGCTTGATGTCCGTTAGCGGGACCGACAGCGTCAATGGGGAGGTGCCTGTGACCCCTGTGAAGAGAGACCAAAGTGACACGGAGTAGCAGGTGAGTCGCAGTTTGGGTGACATGGGGGTTGGGGCAGGCACGGTGGGGAGAAGGTGCTGAGAGCCTCCTTGGTGGGTGGGTGTATGGGAATGACTGGGCAGGGAAGCGAGAGCCTGTGGGGCTGTGGGGGATTGAAGGCGATTCCTCGTCTGTCCAGGGCTTCTGGTAAAGAGGTCACAAACTTGGGTATCCCCAGGGGCCTGGCCGGCACGGTGATGAGGAAAGAGGCTTGCTTAAGACACAAGGTGGCATGGTGGGGATTGTGGCAAACTAGAAACCCCAGCCTGCCCATCAGGCTAGCTTTACCACAAGGCAGAAGGCTCTTAAGCATTGGTAGATCTTATGCAAAATAAGGTGGATATCCAGACTTTGGAAATGTGGAATCGCCACAGGTTTTTAAATGTTGGCAGCTGAAGAAATACGCTTTACAAAACCATGCAGGCCGAATGAAATATAATCTTGTCATTTCTGGGAAACCTGTGATTTGAAAAAGGCTGGAGCATGCAAACCAAGGCTTTTTTGTTTAATTGAGTTGGAAACCAGTTTTCTTTGATGTGTCACAGTTCTAAAATCGCTCTCCTAGGACTGTTACTCTTCCAACCAAATATTTTGAAGTGATTTAAGAAGCAAAAGCGAATGCTTCTCAGTGGGGCAGTTTTCATTTTGGAAGATAGTGCTTGCAAAAGAAAAAAGTCTTGTGATAATTTGATATTGGCTTAGCTTTCATCTTGCTCTTTTCTTTCTGTTCTGGCTTGAGGAACGTTCACCCCTTTCATGTTTCTTATTATGTGTAAGAGGGTGAGGGTGAGGCCTTGGGAGGGATTCGGCTCTGAAAGCTCTAGGGGCACGGTCAGAGCCTGAATAGGAAGGCAGAAGAGGTCACAGTTGCAAAAGGGGGGAAGGATGGGGTGTGGGGAGGTGGCACCGGCTGAGTCTCGAAGGTGCCCAAAAGAGGCAAGGTTGAAGCTGAGCCGGGGTCAAGCGACGGGTGGCTGGGGCGGCGGAGTCTGAGAGGAGTGGCTTTCAAGGAAGCATCTCTGATGATCCGCACAGGCTCAGAGGGGTTGAGGATGTTCTGGAAGACTTGTGCTCCTGAATTCTGCAAGACAAGGGGTTCTGATAGCTTCCAGTGTGTGGAGTTCTCATAGTCTTGCATCTGGGAAGATCTGGCTCCTTCCCCTGCATCGAGGAGCCAACTAGGGGCTTTCTTTAAAGAAGACAAATGGAGCAGAAAAGTCTATCTTTGATTTCTTAGCCAGTTACTGGTGCCCTGGGAAGGGAACCGAGAGAGATTTAGGCAAAGGAAGAGGAGGATGAAGGTAATAATAAAAGCAACTGATGTCAACTCAGTGTTCTAGTCTTCTGGGTGGTGTACTGTACAAATCTCGCATGTTGCCTTTATCAGCGTCTCTCAATGGGATGGACACTGTTATCCCAGTTCTACAGATGAGAGCACAAATGAAGGGAAAGGGTAGGTTACATGTTAAGGTCCCTTAGCTGGAAAGAGGAGCTGATTTGAGCCCAGGTCTCTGACTACAGACCAGCTGTACTCTTCTTCCATCTGCGGAGGCTCACGATGAGGCAGCCCTAGACCCATGAGTGGAGGGCATTTCCACCAGTGATCCACAAGCTTGTAGTCTAATATGGCAGCCACTAGTCACCCATGGCTCCTTAAGTCTAAGTTAATTAACATTAAAAATTTAGTTCTGCAGGTGTTCTAGGCCCTTTTCACATGTTCTGTAGCCAGAGTTGGCTAGGGCCCGCCATATTGGATGCGCAGATCCATGACATTTCCATCATCGCAGAAGGTTTTATGGAACAGAGTAGATGCTACGTTAGGGATTCCGGATTAGAATCTGGAGTGACTTTGGTAAGTAAGAGGAGCCATCTGGTTAAAGTCATGAGGTCCTTGATCCTGAGAAGAGAAGCACCTGGCTTCTCAGGTGTACAGTGTAGAAGGCCCAGCCTGCTCAGCAGCAGGGAAAGCTATGGGCTGCGATGACAGTCTGCCTCCAAGTCAGCAGCCCAGCCTTGTGTCAGACGTTGGAGCAGACCACATGTAGGAAGACAGTGCTGTCCCTCAGGCAGGACGTGCAGGGCGATCCTCTGTCAGGCTCGGTCCTCCAGGTTTGGGCCTCTACTGCGCAGAGGGAGAAGCATTTGAGATTTGAGAAGGTTAAAAGAAGTAGGATTGTTCAGCTGGGTCCAAATTCTTCTTTATCTGACTCTAAGATCTGGATTCAATCATCTGAAATCCTGACTACGTCGGATTTACCATTTGATATTCTCCACAAAGCACACAGTCATCCACTAGGATTTTGTAAGAACGTTGCCTTTGACTAGAAGATGTGGTCTCACGTGCTAGCTTCACCACTTCGAAATTGCCCTTTATCCGGGTAAGCCCACTTCCACCCGGTGTCCTTGAATATGACATAAAGATATTAAGCTCACTGATGGAAGGCAGGTACCAACAGCGTGTGTGGCATGTAGTTGGCTCTCAGTAGAGGGTAACCGCATTGTACCGTGCCCTCCAAAATCCACAGCGAGCTTGTAAATGACCTTAGAAGGGGATGTGTTTTCTGAGCCTTCGATGGTAATTAATTTTGAAATTAAAAATGAACGTTTTTTAATGGAAATTTTCAAACAAACTCAGAAGTGGAGAGAATGCTATTGTGAATGCTCCTGGGTCATAGATTAATTGAATTATAATACCTGCTGTGTCTTGAGGGTTTACTATATACTTGGCATGCTTTGAAAGTCACATTCCACATATTGATTTAACAGCAGTGGGTAGGGACTAGTTCGTACCCCATTTTGCAAATGGAGGTGGTAAGCACAGGGAGTTTAAGCAATGTGGGAGTTCAGAGTGACAAGAGGCAAGAGGAAGGGGAGAGTTCAGAGCCCATCCCAGACAGCCTGGCTTCTGGAGTCACAGACTTGACCACTCACCTGGGTCTGGGGAAAGAAGATTCCGTGGTCAGAGACTGCTGGGATTGAGACCTGCGGAGTGCCCTGTCTGATGACCCCAACAGAGCACAGACTCTGAAAAAGAAGGGAAAGAAATATTCATGGGCGTTTAGAAAACTTACTCATCAAAATTTTTCCTGTTAGACATCTCAACATTTCTCGCCCCACCCCCAAAGAGTGTGTTTGGGGTGTTTAACAGGACTCGATTTTCCAACTAGAGAAATCCCGACATTCTTCCCTCTGGGCCCCATGTCTCTGGGTCTGGACTGAATTGGAAGATGTGCCCTAGACTACAGAGAATAAAGTAAGACAACAGTGTTATGTATTTTTCATGTAGTCTAAGATAGTTCTTAGAGTTATGTATTTTTCCCGAAAAATGCTTTTATGTTTGGATTTTTAGTGTAGAATTGATCTAAATAGTGACATGCAAAATCATATCTACTCATTGGTTTGGCTTCTTTCTTTCTTTCTTTTTTTTTTTTTTCAAATTAGAGATTGATACTGGAAACTAGTCTTAGGATTTCTCTTTCTCTCTCTTTCCTTCTCTTTTTAAAAAACAAAATCTTTTGTTTGGCATTTCTTCTTCCCCTTATTCTTTTCCCCCTGTTTCGTTGGCCTGTCTTCTTTTTTGTAGTTAGATCTAACTTGCTCCCTGCCTGATTTATTTTGGCAGTGCAGTTAAAATGGTCTCTCTCTCTTTTTTTTTTTTTTCACAGAAAATGTGTTTTGATTTCTTAGAAGAATAAGCTTTTGTTCTTTGAAGTTAAATAAATCAAATTGCTTTCAGCCTCCAAATGCCACTGCCTTGTCTTCATGATCATTGGTCTTTCACTTTTTCAAAATGAAGCTGTGGTAAGCATTTGGTATCACACATTTCTGAAGTATGTGCTCTTTTTTGCATCTTCTGGTAGGATCTCATTGAAACATTGATTTGGGAAGTGTACATAACAGTATTATTTACATCAAAACAAAAATTAATAATATTAGACATGGCTTTTTGTTTTATTCCTGAAGTGATTCTGTTAATTCTTTTTTTTTCTTAAAGATTTTATTTACTTAGTTGTCAGATAGAGAGAGAGAGAGAGAGAGAACGCAAGCAGGGGGAGCAGCGGGCTGAGGGAGAAACAAGCTCCCTGCGAGCAAGAAGCCTGATGCAGGACTCGATCCTCGGAGCCTGGGATCATGACCTGAGCCGAAGGCAGATGCTTAACCAACTGAGCCACCCAGGCATCCTGATTCTGTTAATTCTTATTTTAGTAATTTATTACAGTGATTAAAACTGAGTTTTAAACTGTTTAGGTTTCCTTGTAACTGTGTCACTCACGACCAGTGGTTTGAGGCAAATCACCCGACCCCTCCATATCCGAGGGCCTTCATCTTTACAATGGGGCTGTCGTTGGACTTCAGGGAGGTAACACAGATATGTCGTTCTTAAATCTGTCCTTGGTACAGACTTAGTATTTACTAACTATGCACTATTACCAAGAATTTTCATCCCATTCTCCGTGATCCTAGTCACATACTAGCCCATTCCTCAAACATCAGCTTGAGGTTCTGTGAGTCCCTTTTCATTTCTTAAGAATATTAGAGCTTTGGATTCTCTCGACATGTTAACAATCCGTATCTGGTGGGTCCCTTTGGGATTCGGGCCATTCTCTGGCCTGTGCTAAGAGGACTTCCCCATCCATACCTATATCGCCTCTTACTGGAGGTGGAAGAGTGACAAGTCCGCGGGAAGGTTTGCCTGCTTGCGTTCTTTGTGCTGCACAGAACAGAGGGCCGGTGAAGTTAAGGACTGTGGACTGGGTTTTCTGCAATAAATTGCTCTGCTGGCGCTCCGTCCTGGGATCAAAGTCCTCTTTCTGCCAAGACTCTTTCGTGGGTCATGCTCCCTGCTCCTGAGTGTCATGACCAATCACAAGGTCAGCTTCCCTGACTTTTGGCACCTTCCTTTCCTCCTCCTCTGTTTTGACCTCCATGATCGGGGGTAGCGGAGGGTCCCGGGGGCAGGGGGACTCCCCTGCAGTTGGGCT